AGAAAAGGCCTACGTGACCCTGGCAACGAGCGTCTGCGGAACACGTGCTTGGTGGGCCTAGGAAAAGACAAAGGGATGCTAGAACGGCGAGAAAGTTAGTTGAGGAGCGGCAGTATGTCAGTTGAGCAGTCGCGCAGTGTGAGTCGCGAAGTCAGAGAGTGTAAGTGGAGGAGCCGGAGGATATGAATCGGGAAGTTGAAAGCCGAGTATGATAATAAGACGTACGACGATATTGTAATCAGTCTTTCGTATTGAGTATCGCTTATTAAACTAAACGTAACTCTAAATAAAACATCATTACTTGTCCTTATTCTAAGAACAATATAAGTTCAAACATGTATGTGAGATGGTGTGACGTTGGCGAAAGACATGGCTGATTGTTTATAAACGTTGTTAAGATATGTTAATATTGTCAAGGAGTGTTGTGAGCGTTACCAAGGTTTATTAAAGGAAAAGTGTGCCTGGTAATGCAGCCAGAGTTGAATTAATCGTGATCGAGAGAAATTCATCGTGTTGCTGTGACGTAGAAATAGTGTTAAGCGAATTCGCGAAGTGCGATATTATATTCAATTTTGTGAGAGTGTTGCAATTTTGTGTTTATCATACTATCTTTTCTGTTAATTTATAATAAATATTCCTACAAATTGGGGGATCGTCCAGTTTTAAATCGTGCCGATCTAAATTTCGGGAAGCGGTGTGATAAAATATCGTTAGCTGTTGTGAATAATATTGTGTGTATATGAAGAAATTATTGTTAAGTTAAAGATGGCAAATTGTGAGGAGGAACAATTTTCGAGCGAAGAAAATTTAACGTTGGAAGAATTGTGGAATAAGCTTGCTCAGCTGAATCTTCCGATATCTGGGGCTAGGTCAGTGCTGGTGGCCAGGCTACATGGAGCAATTAGTGCAGGTCAATCAAATCTTAAAGAACAAGGGAGTAGTGAAAGGTCAGTGGAGAAGCGAGGTACGGGGACGAAACCAAAAAATAAGCATGGTCGAGATGTAGATGAAAAACTCGAGGGGCTTAGGACGAAGGAATTGAGAGAACGTCTAGCTAGCACGGGGCTAGAGACGAAAGGAAGTAAAGCAGAATTACGTGAGCGTTTACGGGCGGCCTTAGAAGAAGATGCGTCGTCGGAGGAGGAAACCGACTACAAGAGTGAAACGGAAGAGGATGAAGAGGGTGAAAGTGAACGCAGAAGGAGCGTGCGAGATGGACATCAGAATTATGGATGACGCTGTAGAAAGACACGTAGGCGAACAACATTGAGTTTTCAAGATGTCAAGATCAAAGAGTTTTTACAGGCGAAAATAACGAAAATATTAACCAATGGTTCAGGACATTTGAAGAAACAACGAGTATGTGTTTGTGGACAGAGGAACAAAAAGTAATCTATACACAAAAGCTGATGAGAGGATCAGCTAAAATATTTGTAAATTATGAGTGCCGTGCAAGAACTTGGTGTGAATTAAAAAGAAGTTTAATAGAAGAATTTTCGAAAAAATTTAATACATGGCAAGTACACCATAGACTTCAAGAGACGAAGAAAGAGAAGATGAAGGATGTACAGCTTATATGTATCGTATGCTTGGCATAGCAACTCACATGAATATGGAAGAAGCAGCAAAAATGCGGTACATCATAGAAGGAATAAAAGACAAAGAAGCTAATAAGGCAATACTATATGGGGCAAGATCAATGAAAGAACTTAAGGAAAATTTGATTATCTATGAGGAACAAAAATCTCGCATAGCAGAGTCGTCTGTGAGACAGGTTAGACCTGAGGACAACAGGAAATGCAGGCAATCTGCAAGTGTGATGAAGTATAGGAAGTGTGAAGATCTCCTGTTTCGTTTCGAGGAAGAATCGTTTAACAAGGATAATATTCAGAAAGAAAGAAGAGAGCAATTTGTGATAAATACTGTAAATGAAAATAAGATGAAGGATATCAAAAAGCTGTTGCTGAAAGAAAGAGAACGTATCGGTCAGCTAGAACATGTTAGCATAAAATCATTCGAAACAGAAGAAGAAATGACACGTCTACGCAATGAAGTCTCAAATGTTACTGCTCAAGAAACGCAGCAAATCGAAGACTTACAGAGTCGCAATAAAAATTGGGAGGGAAGTAGAAATAATCTTGACAATGAGGTGCAAGAGAAAAGAATTATGGAGCAATGTATAAATCAAAAAACTGAATTGCAATCAAAATTGAAAGAAAATCAACAAGAAAGCGTGGTTCATAAAGAATCGGAGAAAAGTTTGCGGACAGAATTAGAACCTGCGACGAAAGATTTGGAGAAAAAGAATACATTGACAGAAGATATGAAAAAACAATTTGAACACGGTACAAATACTTTGAAGGAGCAGTTGCAAGAAGCTGCAGAAACGATAGAAAGTATTAAAAGAAAGATTGAACAATTAGATTATAAAATCGATCATAGACCAGGTACCGCGATGCGTTATGTGGACGCGTTTAGTCGGAATATAGTAGAAGAGTTATTAGTACAGGAAGGCCGAAGCGGTTTGGGTGATCGAGTTTGCAAAGCTCAAGAAGAAGATGACGATTTTGAAGACGACGAAGGACAATCGTTTTTCATTGAGGTTAATAGTCGTTGCGGAATAGTAAAGAAATCAGGAGTGCAAGTGTGATTAGTAATATTGGGTACATCTGAGGGCAGATGTGTTTGTCAGAATGGCCGAAGTTGTGGGATGGTGTGACGTTGGCGAAAGACGTGGCTGATTGTTTATAAACGTTGTTAAGATATGTTAATGTTGTCAAGGAGTGTTGTGAGCGTCACGAAGGTTTGTTAAAGGAAAAGTGAGCGTGGTAATGCAGCCAGAGTTGAATTAATCGTGATCGAGAGAAGTTCATCGTGTTGCTGTGACGTAGAAATAGTGTTAAGCGAATTCGTGAAGTGCGATATTATATTCAATTTTGTGAGAGTGTTGCAATTTTGTGTTTATCATACTACCTTTTCTGTTAATTTATAATAAACATTCCTACATATATTTCCTATTTACACTTTAATGCAATATTATTGAGCAGTAAAATTCTTCTGCGTGTAAACGCGGATAAAACAATTTCCCCTAGTATTTGTTTGCAACTAACAATTTTTAGCATTTTGTTAATAAATATTTCTTGGCAACAGCATCGTATGAAATATATTAGGTTGTCCGAAAAATGTCTCTTTTCGCAAACGTGTTTTTTACAATAATGCACCTCCGTACAAACGTGAAACCAAGTCTGTGAAATGTGTTTATCTCAATAGAACAAAATGGATCGTACGTAATGCGACAAAACGATATAAAGCAAATAACATTGTGCGTCTATTATTTCCTCATAAACAGAAAGAAACTTTTCGGATATCAATCAAACAACTCGTATAGCGTATCTCTTTGAAGAAAACTTGTAAAGGATCGGTTTAACGTCTTAGGTACGATTGAATTTTGTGCGGGAATGTTCCTTCGTAGGGCAGAGTTTGACGCGAACGACGCGTAAACGATACTGCGCCGCAATATGTGGCGGATAATGCTGTTCTCTACGCAAGCACATTGGATAATTAAATGTTAATTTTTCTTAAAGGTACGATACATACACGTGAACTTTAATAATTTACTTTAATAATTAATAATACAATTGAGTGTGATATATTTTAAAGCAGGGCAAAGCACATACACCCGCGTCTCAATTTTCACATTCAAGCGAGTGCTTTTCAAATTGTTCTTCGTTTTCTATTTTCTAGCGACATTTTTACGTTAAAAAATGTAAAATATTGTAAAGATGCGGATCGGTATGTTAAAAGGAGCATCTAATAATGATATATTTATTTTAACGGAAAGCAATAATTGATATCTGACACTTGTGTATCAAAAATAGACTATATATTTTGCCTGTATATATTGTTAATACTGTTATAAAATATTGCGAGGACAAGAAAAGTGTGAAACAAGACAAACGAAAACGTGTGTTTAGCTTAAACGGTGACCGTGTACCTTTCCAAGGTCAGTGCTGCTGATATTTCAAGGGGTTCTCTCCAAGGTCGGTGCTGCTGATATATAAAGGGGGTTCTCTCCAAGGTCGGTGCTGCTAGTATATAAAGGTGGGTTCGATTCCCGGCGGAGCCAGCATCATCTGATCTAGACACGATAATATTGTACAAATTGAGTAAAAATAATAAGAACTCTATCTCCTGTTCAGAAATTGACAAGTTTCTTATTTTTATTTTGATTTTTCGCGACATTTTTGGCGATCCTGCGCTGATCTATTCGCTTCAGTGTAATCGAAATTACGATTTCGGCGTACGAGCATCATTGAATATCAAAGGACCACTGCGAATCCTCGCCACCACGAAGACCTGCAGCAACTTGCAACGTTCCGCTGCAGTGAAACCAGACGAGAGGACTACGTTTAGAGCAGAGCAAGCCTACGAATAAGATTCGGAATCTAGAACCAACCAGAGAGGAAACATCCCAGAGACTCCTCAACGTTCATAGCTACAACGGTAAGCTGAAAAGTCTTCGTTCATTTTTATGTTACCGCGTGAGAAAACCAAGTTTCTCAAGCGTTTCGAGTCCAAATAGCAACAATAGTTCAGAATCATTAAGCTCAATTAGAATCATGTTCACATCACGAAAAGACAAAATCGAAACTATTGAAACCGTTTCTACAAACGGAGGTACGGACAACTCGATTCGTGCCATACTCGACGCGATACAAAAACAAATTGAACTTCTTGCGCAACGTATAGAAGAGACACAACGGACAACCGACAGTGAAAATAAGAAGCGTGCAGCGGAAATAGAACTATTAGGCAAAAATATCTCAAAAATAAAAATCGGACGTGACGCTACTACAGAACTAGGCTCCCTTATTATTATGGACGAATCTGTTGCCGCGAGAGATAGAACTTCCCTACCGTACGTTCCAATTCGAACAGAAGCAGAAAACTACCCCTCTTACGAAGACCGTCTATCGCAATTCGCCCCTCCGAGCTTACAGGCCAAAGACGCGATAGCATGTATTCCACAATTAAAGTACGTGAATTGCGAGCCATGTGTAGCGAACCCACGCTATTACTAAAAATGATCAAAATCGGGAAAATCACGGGTAAAGCCACAATGGCCATCCGCAATATACCGATAAACGAATACGGACACCTGTACGATGCCCTACGACGAAACGTAGCCACCCAAGATTCCGTGAGAGAACAACAATACCAGACGACGCGAAAATTTGAACATAGAACTCGATAAAAAGTATCACGATTGGGAAAAATCTACCGACGCGTTACCCAAAATTTTCAAAATGACTCCGAACCGTAAATCTTTCTATCAATTATCCAAAACAGAGCTAGGAAATTACGACAGAATCGAATGGTTAACTAAATTAAACGAAATTATTCATACGAACGAGGAGATAGGTATAGGCGACGACAGTTTCACAGAGACCGAAAAGAACGCGATCAAACGAATTTTATTATTCCCGAACGACACCGTAAAAGAATTAAATTTTGCATGGGAACCAATCCAAACATATAGTGACGAAGAAATAGACGAACTATTAAAAAAAAATCACGATTTAGTAGGACATCCCGGTATACAAAAGACATACGACCGCATTCGTGAACGGCACAGAGTATCAGATTTGATGAAACGCACACAACAACATGTAGAATCATGCGACACCTGCCAAACATCTAAAACTACACGTATCAGACCGCGCGAAGAACCTTGTATCACCGACGCACCCCTCGAACCAAACGATACAATTGCTATGGACTTATTAGGCCCACTGCCTTGTATCACCGACGCACCCCTCGAACCAAACGATAAAATTGCTATGGACTTATTAGGCCCACTGAAAAAGACGAAGAAAGGCAATCAGTATATTCAATCCATACATGACGAACTGACAAAATACTTAATACTCGTACCACTAAAAACTCAGCAAACGGAAACAATTTGGAACGCACTCTTGAATCATTACATTTACATCTTTTCCGCTCCAAAAAAGATATTAACTGACCGCGGACAGAATTTTATATCTAGTTTAATGCAACAGTACGAAGACGCGTTCAAAATCAAACATATCAAAACGACATCATTCCACCCACAAAGTAACGGATTTTTAGAACGGACACACGCAGTAGTAACAGACATGTTAAAATTGATACAGCGAAGTTCAGACGAAGAATGGGACGATCAACTTAACTTTGTATGTCTTGCATATAACACAATGATATACGACTCCAATGTTTACACGCCATTCGAACTTACACTCGGACACCAAGCCAGTCTTCCCTCCGCAATATCCAAGAATCCCCAACGCACATACGTAGGACGAAGTCACGTTCCGCAAAAAGGAATGGGAGTCTAGACTCCGACACGCTCGCGAAACATTGATCAAAAGTAAACCGCGATATCAGCGCGATCAAAGACGTAAAATTATAAAACCTCAATCAGTTTTCAAAGAAGGAGACTCCGTTTTAATACATAACGATCATAAAAGGCATAAACTTGATGTGGAATGGTTAGGACCATACACGATTAATAAAGTATGTACTCCTTACTATCTGATTCAAGACAAAAAGATACACGGTAATCGTTTAAAACCTTACTTTCCAGGTCGACGCTCCTCTTTGCGGGAATAGTATCCGCGCAAATAAATATTACGCCATTAGAAGGAAACTCTGTATTCGTAGAAAACATAGGAAAAGGATATTTGTACAGCGATACTGCCAATGTAATAGTAGGATTAGACACTAGCGATATATACGAGCAGATAAGCGCAATAGAATCATATAAATTAACAATAGACTCACGCGCAATCAGCAAACAATACGTTGAAGAGTTATGCGGATTACAAAATCGTATCAATAACCTCAAATGTTAGGCGAATTATAAAATCGTATCAATAACCAGAAACAACTCGCAAAACACTTGAAAGCGTTAACACATATCCGAAGCACACGAGGTTTACTCCACATCATAGGTTCCGTATCGAAAAGTCTGTTCGGAACTTTCTATGGTGACGATCTTACGCTCATAAACAAGAATATGGACAAACTATTCGATGACAATAATAAAATCAAGACCATAATAGCTAATCAAACAGCACTTATTCGAAAAATTGTAAACTCTGAAAACCTAAACCACTTAGAGAAATCATACAGTGATATATTAAAACTACAACAGCAGGCAAATATCGATAGATTTATGCTTAAGATGATCATGAAAGTCGACACTGCGATGCAAACTTTACACTTCCAATTAGATGAAATACTTAACGTCATGATATTAGGCAAACAAGGAATAATTAATCCACAAATACTCGACCCTGATAAATTCATAGAAAATTACGCCAAGGCAATAGGTAGCCAGATGTACAACACCGCGATTTCTGCCAAAACCGAACATTTTCAATTCATACACGACATCAGTGATCTTAAAATCTTCACAAAAGATGACAAAATATTTTTCAAAATCATAGTACCTTTAGTCTCTAACATAGAATGGAACATATTACAGGTATATCCTATCCCGAGTAAAAGAAATGGAGTATTTTGGGCTCCAGTAGTCGAACATCAGATATATTTATCCTCAGGTCTTTCATTTATAAACGCTGATATCGAGTACTTCAACAAACTTTGTAAGAATCGAGACGGAACCACTATATGCAAACAAACACTACCAATCCATGACAGAAACTCGAGTACCGATTGTCGCAGCGAAATAATAAATTTCAAACCACACATTGAACATTGTCAATGTCGCGAACCGAAAATAATATTGTACAAATTGAGTGAAAATAAAAAGAACTCGATCTCCTGTTCGGAAATTGACAAGTTTCATATTTTTATCTTAATTTTACGCGACACCCTCCTGGATTTTGACATAAGTGTGTTCAGGATCGGAAGTAAAATGTGATGTGCGTGAGAATCCGTACTTGGGTGACGCAGCTTCTACGTCTTAGGTCTCTCCTGAGATGTGAAATATAAAATTAAAAATAAAATAAGGTAAAAATTAAAAAAGAGTAAAAAAAGAAAAAAGCCTACCTATGAAAACAACATAGAAAAAATGTGAAAAGTAAAACAAAGCCTACCTATGAAAACAACATAGAAAAAACAAAAAAAAAACAAAAAAGGAAAAAAATTCTTCCTCCTCATATTCGTAATACTTGTAACACAGCAACATTGATACTAACCCCGAACAACAAAACGTAGGTCACCTGTCATCGAAATGGTTGTGAAGAAGAATAAGGTTGTGAATATCCGTACTGCCGTTGCCCTAGTGTAGTAGTCCAGTTACAGATTCCAGGTTTACATCCCCCTGGGGCCCCGTAGTTCATATTTTTTGATAAGTCCTACAATAATATTTTATAATTAGACTTACAGATTTTTTTGCAAATTTATCTGCGAGAATATGTTTAAAAAAGTAGAATCCCGGTAAAAGACAAAAGGGTAGACAATTGCATTACCTGTTGTTACGCCACGACCACAGGCTGTATTTTCTAACCGTCGCTCGCGGTCCTAGGCAAGGCAAACCGCAGTGTCGCAGGCAAACCGTCTTATCTGCCCGCCGGATCATTTACAATGTATCGTCGAGAGCATAGTTGTCGCCAAGCAGCGAGCTCCACAAACGTCGATTTTTGACCGTTACGTTTTTCACACAAGAAAAGGCATACGTGATCGTAGGCGCGAGCGGTGGCGTGGCCCGAGCATTGTGGGGGTCGTCTTCCAAATGAGACAAAGGAATAATCGAAGGGCGATCATTTCCTTCTGACGAGTCAAACATGGCACTTCAACAAATCTGACGAGCAAACGAATTTATCTAGAGATATCGCAAAGTCGAGTCAAATTACTGTAACATATTCATCATATTATTATAAAATATATCACTCTATGTTAACCTCTTAATACAGTGTTACATTTATTAAACCACCTATGTTGTCTTAACCGAAACAGGAGAACGACTATTTCGCGGGGTCGATTAACATAATCGTAGCGAGAATTTACGCCTCTTGCTGACGCGTTTTCCTAGCGACCTAGTCTCTCTCCGCGAACGGTCGTAACAAATACTAAGTATTATAGAAAAATATTAAAGAAAGCATATATATTTTGTCGTATTACGTGCAAATTTTTCACAAGTGCGTAAAAAACCGCAGTCTATTTACATAATAAAATTAATAATTCTTATGTGTCATAAGTTAAATTTTCTTTACCATTTCCTCCAGAACTTCTTGTCCTCTCAGAATATTGCCTAACGTTGTGTCTAAAGATTACGAAGTACATCGCGTCTATTGAGTGGCCCGCTCGAGCTGAAAAGAGCTTCCGCGAGTCGTCTCGCGCCTTAGCTGACTCCGAAATGTTAGTGCATCTGATTCCAGGCGCGCCCGTTAGGCTCGCGGTCGACACATCCGCTAACGCCACAGGTGAGGTACATCAACTGCGCGTCAACGATACCTGGCAGCCCCTAGGTTTCATGACGAAATCGCTATCCCCCGCGCAATGGATGTACGGCGCGTACGATCCAGAGTTACTAACGATGTACGCGGCGGTGAAACGATTCAGGCATAAAATTAAAGTCGCTTAGCCTAACGAATATATCAAGAATTATCATAAAATCGGATTGAATTACTAACAAACTAATTGTATTTATCGCCAAACAATTTGCGACGTTTTCATCATAATTTAAATATTGTTAAATATACAAGATTATATTAACCCTGTTAATTCAGTGTTAAACTCATTTGAACCACCTCTGTTATCTTAATCGAAACAGGGGAACGACTAATTCGCGGTATCGGTTGTCAGAATCGTAACGAGAATTTACGCCTCTCGCTGACGCGTTTTCCTCGCAACCGCGTCTCTCCGCGTACGGTCGTAACACACAAAACTATTGACATCACCGACAGCTCTATTCCATTAACCTTTGAGCTCGAGAGGAGATTCTCAGTTGTTACGGCGTTCTGTGCTGTAACTCCAGTGACGAGTGAGAGATGACAGTCCCTATGTATCCGTTTCCAAGCGGCAAGATCATACTGTTTAGATTTTGTTTCGAAAAGTTCCAGTACATTTGAACGCTACGAACGACTGACGGTATTTTGTATTTCATTGTTATCTTCTCAATAATTTTTATTGAACGAAACTTGAAATATTTTGAAACTACTAATACTCATATATAATAATATAGATGTGTTTCATAAAGTAACAAATATGATGAACGCTATTGGGTCGCTCGTTTCTCTTCGCAATCGCTTAAGACAAACGCTATGGCGCTGTTCGGGATTTTTCGACTCTGCTTTTTCAATGACCCGTGGGACTCAAACGATTATGTTAGATTTCGAAATCTCCTATTGATAACAGTGCAGTATTGGTTCGTAAATAGGTTCCTCAGCTCTTTATGTTCTTTGTTAGGAAATGTAAAGCTAGACTTTAAAATGGAAATAAAATGTGTAATCCCAAATTCCTCCGAAACTATGGGTTTGACAACGTCTCCGATGTTAGTTTGGATTCGACGATCATAACAAAAGTATTACAGTTTAAAAACCCTAAAAGAATAGTTTTCGCCAATGAAATTAGCTCAAATGAATGTGAACTTTATACATCATACACAAAAATACAGAAATTAATCACAAAATCATATATTCAAACATGTAAATATAGATAAATTATTGGAATATAATGTTTTTGTAAAGTTGTGTTGTCGGTGTAGATGGTGCTGCTGGGGTACTGCTGCTTTCTTCTTAATTAGATGCCGTGGAAAGAAAAATCGGACTACGATCGCTGCGATTCGAACCCGGGGCCCGAACGTTCGTAATCTGTGGCGCTAACTACCGCGCTGCTGTCACGTCGGAGACACAAGAAATCACGAAACCGATAGATCGCCGGTGATCACCTCGCGTCGCAGTTCGAACGTTGCACGAATAGGGTGAAAAAATTGAACTTCGTATAAGATGATGGAAATTTTATTATACAAATCCAACAGAGTGACGGTTCAAAGTGTTACAACAGAAGAAGGTATTTAGGGCTAATTTACGAGGGTTTTTATATTGAGGTTTTAGTCCCTCTGGAGGGGTTATCATCGGATGTATATCAGAGGCGGCTATTCAGTTACTGTTCTGATATTATTTCGATAGCTGTGGCATGCAGGATGTTTCGTCTACTTGATTGCTGTTTCTGGGCGGGTGGCCTTCTTGAGCGTGTGACACTGCCGTCGTCCGACGATAATTGTTATCGAGTGTCGCCACAATATAAAATCATTTTAAGCTACCTGTAGCGTCACATATATGGTAAATCATTTGTAGTTGCTGCTACGCTCGACCGAAAGAGTCCTCGAACGCAAAGGGTCAAGCCATCTTCAATGTAACACGTATCCTAACTTATAAAACAGCACTACATATACATGTAAATTTATGTAGTATCGTGGACGAAAAGCCTAAGAGATATCGGGCGAACCATGAACAGTGTCGCGAGAGCCGAGGCGCCGTCGGGTCCATCAATGTGTCATCGGTCTTTTCAAGTGCATAGTTTCGTAGAAAAGACCTACGTGACCCTGGCCACGAGCGTCTGCAGAACACGTGTGCCTGTATTCATAAAAATCTAAATTTGCACAAACATCTGCACTTTATTATTACGCAACACTCTTAATATCACTAATAACACGAACTTTGTTGTCAACTTTCTTGCCAGAGTAATAATCTTGCACAAACGTGCGTCACGTTAAACTGGTACCGTCTCCCGATGAAACAGGCTCGGTATGTGGTACTAATGATGATTATGTCGAATGATCCGATGAAATTGACTGCGGTGAAAGTGATGGATGTATCTTTATCGACCTTTAGCGATGTAAGTACATATTAAGACTGTAATCTCGCAAAAATTTGTTCGCACTGCAAAATATATTTTCTAGATTATGAAAGCGTCAATGGGATATTTAAATATGCTACGGAACGTGACTTAATGTCTTATTAATTTTGCACAAAACTTATGAGGCGTAGTATAGTGTCACTTAGAGATCTTATAGCAATGAATGCCGAGGTATATTTTTTATTTTAGTTTGCTAGATTTTACAGTTCCTGGACTACGTGTTTCCAGACACTTATGCAAATACCGAAATTTCAAAATTTCTTGTATAATAACTGCATGTAATATATTTCTGAAAGCTTTGTATAAGTGTTCAAATTTTTTCGCGAACCACTGCAACAAAGTATCAGTTGAAAAGCAGTTATCGCCAAGAATGACGTAGTAGTCTGCTATCCAACTCGGCGCAGTTTCTGTCCTCCATGAAATCATTCGCATCATTCTACGATAACAGGTAATTTCAAAACCATAGTGCCCGTAATACTTTAATAATCGAACTGCAAATATGTATGTAAGATAATGTTAATCACATGGTAATTCAGGTGATCGATTCTGAAGTCTGAAAATCGAGAAGCGATTTTCAACGTCCTGAGCTACCGATCTTTCTTCGTCAATCTTTAATGTTTTAAATAATTACTCTTTCTTCTATGGTCTTGTCTATCTCTGATGTTGCTCTCTGTCCGTCCGTTTGGGAAATAGAGCGTCTCTCAAAATGGTTGTCCGTAAAACAAAGAAAGTCGTTCTGTCCGTGAAACAGAGAAAGTCCCTATCACCCTTGAATTCTAGGGAGTTTACATATGTATGTACAAAAGAGGTTTGAACGTTTTTTAAACACTTCTGGCAAATAGCCAGATTTTTTTCGATACCATACCCTTGCCTTTGGACGCATCTTCGCAAATATTTTGACTGTTGCTGCTTAATTTCGCAAGAGTATCGTAAATTCTTCATTCCGAATGAAAACTTCTCATCACTACATTGCCATATTTTAATCATTTTCTAACAAGGGACTAGAACAATTATGAAAGAAACAGATTCATTTCTGAAGTCAAAAAGAAACCCATGTTCGGAGACGTGGACAAACACGAAGTAATTTGTAGATATTTTCATATGTATATATGAGAATGGATAAAAATATAAATCAATAAATATTAGGTCCTCCGGGAAGTTGTTTTCGCGTTCGCTACTCGGAGCCTTATCTCGTTCTGCTTAAGTAAACAAACCACCTGATCACTCTACCATCAATCGTGTTTTCACTTGTTGCCCTCTGCTAAGGTAAGAGAACAGTTCTCGACGTTAGTAGAAAACGTATCGAGTGGTTTTTGCGTTGTGAAAGATGGAAGGGCAAAAGATGCATTTTCGTCACATTATGTTGCACTGCTTCAGAAAAGACAGTACGCTTAAAAACTCTGCAAAGGAGATTTGTGACGTTTATGGTATTCGGTCTATAACTGTTCAAACAGTCCGGAGTTGGTTCAGGAAGTTTAGAGCCGGAAATTTTTATCTGAAAGATGAAGACCACAGCGGACGTCCACCCATTACTGATACCGACCCTATCAAGGGCTACCTCAATGAATACCAAAGGTTTAGTGTTCGTGAGATAGGAGAAGCTTTAAATGTTCCACGAACAAACTATTCATGAACATTTAACAAAGCTTGGGTACGGTAATCACTACGAAATGTGGGTCCTCATCAACTGGCGGAGAACAATCTCCTGAATCGAATCTCGATATGTGATTTGCTAATTCAACACAACAAAAGGGAGCCATTTTTTAAAAAAAGTTAGTTACTAGGGATGAAAGTTGGATTCTCTACGACAAGGTTGCGTGCAAGCTATTTTGCTCGAGTCGAGATAAGTGTTCTCCAACGGTAGCTTGTCCTGGATTTCACCCGAAGAAGGTGCTGCTTTCAATTTGGAGGGACTGTAAGGGTATCCCCTACTACGAATTACTTCCGGAAGGGCAAACGATCAACAGTGAAAGATATTGCACCCAACTCGAAAAACTTAAGGACGTCATTACCACATCCTCCATACTCTCCAGACTTTGCACCATCGAATTATTTTTTGTTGTTCTCCCTAAAGAATTTTCTTCGCAATAGAAAATTCAAATCGGTAAACGAAGTGAAAAACGTCCTCGGAGAATATTTTAAAAGTAGGCCAAGAGAATTTTGCAAAAATGATATTATGAGACTCCCGGAGAGATGGCGAAAGGTGGTAGAAGAGAAAGGATCATACATTATTTAAGAAAGGTACACAGAAGGAAATATATTTTATACTTACCTCCTATTTAAGAAACGAAAAGAACTTTCCGGATAACCTAATTGTTATGGTTATTAGATGTATAAAGAGAGAGACGCGTGGATAAATTGTAAGGTAGAAAAATATATTTTAAATACAAAAGTGAAAGTACAAGTAGGAAATAATATAAGCTGGTCCAGATCAGCACGCTAGTGTCACGACCGGCATACTTCAAATCCGACGGACTGACG